ATGGACGGCACGCTGTGTTTAATGAGAAAAGTATAGATATCTGATACCGCAAGAGCTGAAATTTGGTAATACAATAGTTGACTAAATAAGTTAAACGAAAAAAATATCCAGCTTTATATTTAGTGAGGGAAAAGTGTCCAGCCGATGCAGTCAAAGATACGACGCGCCCGAGCGCATACCCGTGCGCAGCATCCTTCACTGCATCAGCTGGACACTTTTCCCCCACTAAATTTGAAGCTGGATGTTTTTTTCGTTTAAGTTATTAATTTAACTATTAGTTTACAAAATTTCAGCTTTTGTAGTATCAGTTTACTCAGCGCATATTTTTCACTTCTTTACGTGAAAAGCTGGAGCATAATCCCCCACTCTAAATTCGGCTGGACACGTTTTTTCATTTATTTATAACATAATAAACATATTAACAAAATTTCAGCTTTTGCGGTATTAGTTTTTTTTTATTGTTATTTTACGTGTGTGGGAGGCTGCCGCAGCTACACCCCCCGGAAGTGCGCCAGCTGGTGGTCCATTCACTTACTAGCGATGCCAAGTAAAGCTTAGGACAAATTTTCAGCTTTTGTACTTTTGGTCACTAAAAAATGTCGCTGGCTCCCGGACTATAGTTGGCGCTATCATAAAGTCACATAGCAGGCAGCCAAAAAGCATATAAATCCCAAAACTCGAGAAATTCAATTTTGTTTGTTTACAAAAATTGCAACCATATGTTTTGTGATCATATGTTTTCGTGTTGGATAATTTTTGCTGACTAAAATTTTGCCAGTACAAAATGAACGCTTGCTCTCTCAATTTTTGTGTGTTGGATAATTTTTTGTCGTTATCGAACGCCATCCAGTAAAAATTTGGAAAACTATTACAAATTTTTGACTTGTCGAACGCACCTATTATCATTAGTTGTGTTTGTGATATTTTAAAATATTAATATTTTCTAAACTGCGTAATCGATTCAAAAGGTAATGAAGTCAAAATAAAGACAATTTATCTTCAAGAGATCGATATTATTAAAATTAAATTTAATTTCAGATTAGAGTTTTAGGGATGTAAAACGTACATACGTACATCGATATGTCGGAAACATCGATCTTTGCTATTCGATACATCGAATAAAACCGATGCATCGGACGTTTCCGTCTTTTCCAGACCGTCGGATCTACGCAACCCAGAGTTATAATTATGGCATACATCAAGATAACCTACCGTTCAGCTATAGAAAAACTAAAAATGCAGATTGCTAGTACCATTTACGCTGATTTTAACTATATAAATATTATTTGCCGCAATTAAAAAGTAAAGTAGATATAAAAGGTAAAACAAAAAAAATTGTGATATTTCAAATTATTAATATTTTCTAAACTGCGTAACCGATTCAAAAGGTAATGATGTCAAAATAAAGACAATTAATTTATCTTCAATCTGATATATAAAATGTGTATGCAACAAATGTGTATAAAACAAAAAAAATTTAGTAATTTTTTCATAAAAAAATCTTTTTTTAGAAAAAGTCCATAATCAATTCTACTTTGTAAGGGTTATGATCCCTAAGCGCGGCCAAAGGCCTCCTACGCAGAAAGAAGTTCTTGTCGCTTGCTTGTAAATGCTTTTAATTTTGTTTATCACTGAATTTTTTAATCTCAAAAGTAGATCATAATAAAATATGTATGTATATCAAATTAAAGGTAAGAACTTACACTTTCTAAATAATATATATGTATGTCTTTAGCATTGATTATGTACTTTTTTCTAAAAAAGGTTATTTTATGAAAAAATTAACATTTTATTTGTTTTTTTTTTTTAATTTTTTGCTTGAATATATAAGCAAGCAAACACATTTTATGTATCAACTTAAAGATAGATTAATTGTCTTTATTTTGATATCATTACTTTCTTAATCGGTTACCTACGTAGTTTTGAAAGTATTAATATTTTAAAATACCACAAAAACCTTCTTTAACATTTTATATCTTCTTTACTTTTTAATTACGGCAAATAATATTTATATAGTTGAAATCAGCGTAAAAAGTACTATCGGTCTGCATTTTTAGTTTTCCCATACTGAACGGTTGGTTACCTTGATGTGTTCCGAATTCGCTCTCATAGAAAAGTTGTACTTGCTCATCAGCTGTTTTTCGCACTGGCAAATTCTTACAAGTAAAAATGTATCCAGTAAAAACTTACAACAAGGCGAATTTATATAAGGTGGTGTTACTAGCTCAGCTGATTTTGTGTATGTGTTTCGCCGCACGGCTTCTGATATCAAACTGAAAAATTTTGTTTGAATTTCTACACACACTCTTACAGATTTTGACAGTTTATGCCGCCAAAGCAAAAACAAAATACATGTAAATTTTTGTTTTTGTACTCCTGCTATCACCTTATTTTAATTCGCCTTGACTTACAACTTCAACTGTCATTTTTCGCTCTCTCAATTTCGCCTACTTTGCAAGTTTTTGCGTACGACAACGCCAAATCATGTAAATTTCGTAAAAACTTTTACTGGATTTTACTGGAAACTATTATCTGAAAAGAAGTGTGGAACCACAACTTTTTGAAGCGCTAGTGCTTACACCTTTGGCTCTCTTACAAATATAAACAGTAACATTAATTAACTCTTGTACTAGCTACATAATAACTAACTTTATATTAGCCGTCATCGAATCGCCACTTCGCTGCGTGCTGTGTTTGAGTTCCGGTCGCTTAACGAAAATGTTTGCATGTAAAAGCAACAACGAAGTTGGCTAGCATGAATATACGATAGCGGGTTTGGTTCAGTGGTCCAGTGTTGCCAAGTTTTGAATTTGAAAAAGCACTAAAGCTGATGCCAGATAAAACTTTGTAGCTTTGCGTGACATTTATAACTTCGCCAGCAAAGCGCCAGACGCAAAAGGTATGCCACAATGAACGCCAAGAAAGCAATTCTGTACCGCTGTTTTACTCGTAAAAGTTGCTGTGGATTTTATATATTTTGCTTTAAAATTATCAGCAATGTAATTAAGTTTTATGTTTCTGCATGAAAACCCGAATTTGGACGAAACAAAATAAATATTAAACCGGCTGATTGTCAAAGCGCGCAAAAAGATGGGAGTTGGCCATCTTTTCGCTTCGCGCTGCAGCTTCAACGATTTATGTGGCATGCTTTGTGCATTTTCATACAATTCATCTTATCTGTCAAAGCGAATCTGTCACGTAAAGCGAAGCAAAAGTTTTATGTGGCATCAGCTTAAAACCCAAGAAAAATTGGGTTTTTTTTTTGCCGAAAAAAGCTCCAAATTTCTATTGGAGTATTTAAAGGCCTTTGTAAGCATGGAAAATTGTATTGTAGGGATGCCAATTCAAATTAGTAAGAATCAATGTTTCTTGCCCGACGGTCGAACTTATTCTGTTTTGTATAAATTCAAACATTTTCGTCCAAGCCACGTTAAGATTCTTTTTCTTGTGGATCCAACGTTGCTGTTTCGCTTGGATACAAGCAAAATTGAATAATTTTTCCTGAGTATTTAAAAGTTATATTCTTTTTCGTTTTGTTTAATTTTTTCTAAACAAAAGCAAAAAGAAGAAATGAAGTTTCATGGAATATGTGGTACTTTAAATCTACACTACTCTTATGATCTTGTGGACTAAAGGAACATAAAGAACTTTTCTTTCCGACCACTTAACACTTGAAACATTACGAAATTTTATTTCCGTTTTTAATCTGTTTTAGGGATGTAAAACGTACATCGATATATCGGAAACATCGATCTTTGCTATTCGATACATCGAATAAAACCGATGCATCGGACGTTTCCGTCTTTTCCCAGATCGTCGGATCTACACAACTCGGAGTTATTATTAGTTGCGATCCCGTACGCGGCCGGACTAGTCAGAAATAGTCAGAATAAGTCAGATTTTACTGGAAATCGATCCCGTACTCGGTTCTCTGACTATTGAGAGGACAAAAAAGAGAGTAAATACGGTTCTCTCTCTGTCAGAAGTTACCAGTTTTAGTCCGAGAATTTTACGCTGGTAAATTCTGGTAAATGTGTCAAACGGTCAGCTGTAGTGTGTTTAGCAACCAAATTGTAAACAAAAGAAAAGTGCACTCTGCTAATTCATGTTGAAAAGTATTTAATTACTTGTTTAAGTGGATTCTAATGAATTTGAAAGTATTTTTGGTTATTTACATGTATGAGCTGAGTGTGTTTACATACAATCTAAGCAAAAATTTACAACCGAAATCTGGAGGTTATGTTGAAGTTGACAGAAGTTACCATTTTTTACTAGAAAGCGGTACCGTACTTTTCCTTTAAGACCTGTATGCAGCTCTCAAGAAAAGCAAAAACTCCATATAAAATGACGTACAAGAAATGGCTAAGTAATTTTCTTGAGTCAAATT